AGTAGACCCCCCGCGTGAGTTTACGACCACTTTCGCACTCCGGATCTTCTGATACCCGACGTTCTCGCGCATCAGTGTTGATAGAATGAGAAAGTCCCGGTAAATTGAGGTAAAGGGGCGAGTTTTGACCAGAGCCATCACTGCTGCGCTCAATTATAACAGACCGCAGCGCAGAAATGAGATAGAAGCACAACCGGTTTGTTTTTTTTAGTAAAAGACAAACCATGCCCAAATCGCATCCTCCATGGCTCTACGAGTGCGCTTCCTCACTTTGCCTTAACCTGCTTTTCTCCCTCACCTGCCACTTATAATCTCAAGCACTTTTCCAGTCAAGACGTCCTCTCAAAACTCTTATGTTCGCTTTTGTCACCAAAAATGCGCATCTGATAATGCTTACACCTCTCAAAGTAATATTTAGTAGCTAGCACTTTTTGCTCGAATTTAACTGAATCTAACACATACAACCACCAATTTTTTGAAAAAATCTCAAAATTGAGATTTCTAATCACTTAGCCATTCAATTTTCAAGCAATTATTGTAGAAGAGTACAGCAAGGTCTACCTTCTCTTGACTCTATCACAGCACTATTTTCAAAAAAGAAGAAGGCCAGCAGTCACAGGAATGGGCGTGGGAAAAGGGGAGGAGGCGGAGAAAAAGCACCACAAGGATACTAGGGGCGGTTCGGGAGCCATCCCCGACAGCCGATATCTCGGACGCAACTGGCAGTTCTACGATGCACGTCATGCTCGTCGAAGAGGTAATTGAGATGCTGACGGGTCCTGTCTTTAGGCTATGACTCAATGGAAATTGCATCGATCAGCAGGCTGCTCGTATAAATCCTTATTTGGCTTCTAATCCCTGCCAAAACCTCCCCTAGTACTTGCTTGTCTAACTTAAGCGCTTGGTGAGGATAAAAAGCTCAAATGTCTAGAGATTAGGCTAACGACTCATGCTTTGGGGCAAATTGTACATGCTAAAAAGAGAAAGTGGACTGCACTTG